ACAGCTAGCGCCTAATTGTTTATTAACGAGTTTTATACACACAGCGGGAATTTGTTTATTGACAAGTTTCATACATAAATTTTCTACCGATGCTAGTGACAAGTTTTGTATATATTGCGTCAATGGATCATTGCCAAGTTTCGTGTCAAGATTTTAACAGCTTACTCGTATGCGAGATCCTGATAAGTATCACCCGCCGTCTATTTGTGACAAGTTTTACGCGTCTTTCCTGTAATTGACAAGTTTCGCACATCATGCCACAGCTGTTCCAGACACACACCCACAAACACACACATACACACACATACACACTAAATACTACAACACACTTCTAGCTCGAGCCTTATGACGACACCGTTACACACATAACACAACTCATCCTGCTGTATGTAGCGACTGTACTGTAACATATAAACATACGTCTTGTCTTTGTTGACCAACATACACCACTCCATTATACAGTAGTCGACCTTTCATTGTATATGCTATACATCTGTTACACTGTATTCAACGCGACCTCGTATATTCTCGTATATTTATGTTTTCATTCCTCCTTTTCTTTCTATACATCGACAGACCTCTCAACACAGCCGAGTTTATATTGATCTGTTTTTTGTTTTTTGTTTTAAGCAGCTTTCCATGCTGTATTGACTTAAGCTTCTGTAGTTTGTTAGCCTATGCTATCACTTACTTAGTCTTTACTAAGCTGCTTAGTCTTTATTAAGTTACTTCACTAAGTTACTTTACTAAGTTACTTCACTAAGTTACTTCACTAAGTTACTTTACTAAGTTACTTCACTAAGTTACTTCACTAAGTTACTTTACTAAGTTACTTCACTAAGTTACTTAGCCTTCACCAGGTAACTTAACCTTCACTAAGTTACTTCACTTAGTTACGTTACCTTCACTAAGTTACTTAGCCTTCGCTATGTTACTTAGTCTTCAGTAAGTAACTTAGCCGTCACTAAACACACAAAGAACTTGCTAGTCAACACGATAGTGTGTATGACACGCTCTCGAAGTGTGCGGATCTTAGACACCTAAACACACAGCAAAGAAACAGTCAAAGCCATCCTGCACGTCAACATTGTGTCTGATCACGTGACTGTCATTTACTGTCCAACCGTCACTTTCCCCGCTTTTCCACATATACATCTGCGACATTTCTTGATGCAACAATCAAAATTGTCATAGGGTTGACTATCCAAATGTCTTTACACCTCTTACAAAAAGTCTGAAAACTATCCTAGATCAAAGTAAAATTCCTTTATAAAAAACAAAAACAAAAAAAAACTACTAAAACCACTATCATGTTGACTATCTAAATGTCTTAACACCTATTACAAAGAGTCTTCAAACTGTTATCCAAGATCAAAGTGAAATTCCTTTATCAAGAAAAAACTACTAAAACCACTATCATGTTGACTATCCAAATGTCTTTACACCTATTACAAAGACTATGCAAACAGTTATCCTAGATCAAAGTGGAATTCCTTTATCCAAAAAAATAAAACTAAAGCCACCATCATGTTGACTATCCAAATGTCTTTACACCTATTACAAAGAGTATCAAAACTATCCTAGAGCAATGTGAAACACCTTTATCCAAAAACTAAAATGACTTTCTTGTCGACGGCCCTAACGTCGTTACCCCCTACTACCAAGATTCTGCAGACGGCCATGCGACATTCCTTGGTTCAACAATTCAAATTACTACCCTGCTGACTGCTGTCATAGACAGCAACGTAGCTGTGTTCTGTCTCGTTTCATATTCATTGCCTTGAATTAAATGCCGGTACATGTATGCCTGGCGACGCACCGTAAAATAATTCACTAACAATTTACCTGGCATGTAATCTAATAAAATGGCCCTTAATTAATTTTTTTTTTTAGAAATAAAGCAGAGCTGCGTTTCTTTTATTTGAAAATCATAATTGTCAGAATGACGTAATTACAAAAATATGACGACAAAGTGCTTTATAAAAAATTTAAGTATTTATATACGGCGGATGTGACGCAGTTCACAGCAGTAAAAAAAAAACTAACTTAAAACGGAAACTATATGCGGGACAAACGTTAAGATTTTACAGCGGTGTAGGTGTGGAGGTGTTTGTGGTGTGTGTGGAGGGGGGGGGACATATCGACATACTGTAGTACATTGTGCTAGAACGTCCGTGTCGAATTTCCAGCCAGCTTAGCGGAGTGCTGGTGGGTTTTTTTTTCTTCCGCCCCGCTCAATATGGATCATAAGTTTTGCATTTCATAAAGTCAAAGACTTTTGCTTTGATGGCCCTGGCGGATCGTCCCCGTCTAGCGGGTCTTTCATTAGCCGCCGTCCCCCGCGTGCGATCTGAAACTCTTAGCTGGAGAATGTTATGGGCCCGTCCCTCCCTCCCACCCCCACCCCATTCACCCAAAAATGGAGATGGGCATTTTGTGTGTGTTGAGGGGGTATTGTGTTGCCCGTCTATACAGTACGGCCCAAGTGGCCCAATAGAAAGATAGGTTTAAAATAAACCTGAAGGTTTAAACTGCCGGGGTTTATCGGCGGCTTAGTGTGTGTATTTAGGACCGTGTGTGTGTGTGTGTGTGTGTTTGTTTGGGAGGGGGGTAATGGAAGAAAAGGGGAATGTTGATCGAGTGAAATATATTCTAGTTTGAATCAAACACGATTAAAATACATTGTTACCATCGGCAAAGCTTGTACAAGTCATTAGTGGTGGTAGGCATTGAAGAGAATAAAAGCGTGGCGGGTAGTTGGTAATGGAGAGGGGTGTGGGGTCTGTCTAGGTAAATGTTTGTTTTTTGGTAGTGTAGTACCTGGATAAATAATCTCCAAACCTGATATTTACTCATCGTTATTTGGTTAATAGATTAATACACAGTTGGGTTATTAAACGTTTTTTTTTCGTAACTCTAATCATTAGTGAAATTAATTATTAATTAGTTAATTAAAATTTAGTTTAGAAGGTTTAACAGAAAAAGTGGAGTAATCGTATAATGCCTTGGATTCTTTTCAACGTCACCAAAAAAAAAATAAAAAAATTGTCTACGTTTGGAGTTTACTTTTTAAACTTACGACACATAAACAAACAATCTGCTTTATGTTTAGTTGTTTGAACTTTGGGTGGTGAGGGGAAGAGGGGAGAATCTGAATATGTTTATGTATAGATTAAATTAACCTTGCGCTAATGAGAAACAAAGTGGAACATTGACATAATTGTTAGTGTAACATTGACATAATTGTTAGTGTAACATTGACATAATTGTTAGTGGAACATTGACATAATTATTAGTGGAACACTGACATAATTGTAAGTCGAACATTGACATAATTGTTAGTGAAATATGGACATAATTGTTAGTGGAATATGGACATAATTCTTAGTGGAACATTGACATAATTGTTAGCGGAACATTGACCTAAATGATAGAATAACATTGGCATAATTAGTAGTGGAACATTGACACAATTGTTAGTGGAACATCATCACAAATAAGCTTTTGGTGGAGCTTAGGCTTCATTATCAGCGGACCATTGATCAGATTTTCCCAACATTAATATTGTATCACTTGTCATGACTATCTAAGTAACCGTAACATTGTTACTATTGTTCCAGACGGATTGCTACCATTGTTTGTGGAACATGGCTACTATTGTTTGTGGAGCATTGCTACCATTTTTAAAGAACTCCGCTATAATTGTCCATCAACCACTGCAGTTACTGATATATCCCGTTATTGTTACAGATAACTAATTTACTCAGCTGTATAACTGTAACATTTTCATCGTTGTTCTTGATACTTGGTTCTTCTACCGCTTCCTATCAATAAGCGACTTTGATCTCATACAATTTACACAATTTACCACACATTTCCTCACACATTTTCCTCACACATAGTAGAATTCCACACACTTTTCTTGTGCATTTCCCACATAATTCACTCACAATTTCCCTCAGGAGTTCCGTCCGAATTTCCACACACTTTTTTACACAACTTCTCACATCAGATTTCACAGGATGTGTGTGGCGTGCCAAGGGTTAAGGGACATTGTAGCATAAAAATAGCATTGTAGCATAAAATAGCATTGTAGCATAAAATAGCATTGTAGCATAAAATAGCATTGTAGCATAAAATAGCATTGTAGCATAAACATAGCATTGTAGTATAAAATAGCACTGTAGCATAAAAATATCATTTGTAGTATGTGATTAAAGCAGGGTCGGAAACAGTTTCTAGCTAGCAATGGTGTAGTGACTTGCATAACAGGACGGCGATAGGGCCTTTGCTTTTACTTTGCCTATCAAAGACCTAACGACTTTTAAAAAGGAAGGCAACAGGTCCTTTGCCTATCAAAGACCTAACGACTTGTAGTAGAGAGGGCAACAGGGCCAGGGAACGGGTCACCGATCAAAAGTTGGAGTAAATTTTTTGGTGCGCCGCTAGGAGAGTCACCTCTAATGTGACGTGTCACCTTTCTTGTGACGTGTCACGGCAATCACCTGTTATATGACCCGTCACCTGAGCGCTTTTATATCCAGGTGTCATTTAGTACGCAACACACAATTTCGCGTTCTGACAAAAGAAATAATTCCCATTTTGTTTCGTCTTTAAAAAAAATAAAAATTTGATCGAAGTAGTTTTAAATTTAGTCATAATGTTATAAATCTAGTCAAAGAGTTATAAATGTAGTCGTAGTGTTATAAATTTAGTCATTGTGTGACAGATTTATCCGCATATTATACACTAAGTCATATTATCACTGTAGTGTTGGTGTTATATATGTAGTCATAATTTTATACATTAGTCATCTTGTTCGAATTTAGTCATTGTATATTGTATATCAATAATTAATATTAATCATCAATAATGTAATAAATATGTTATAAACAGTCATTTTGGTGATATGTAATGGATACCCTTACCTGTATTGCTATTTTTTAAAATAATTTTCCTAATTACATATTTAATGAACTAATTATCTTTGTACCTTACAGAGCGCTGCCCGCCGTGCGGGTACAACCTGCGCCAACTGTGGGACGGGCACCACCACCCTGTGGAGACGAAACCCCAACGGTGACCCGGTGTGTAATGCCTGCGGACTTTATTACAAATTACATAATGTAAGTACTTTTACGTCACGTGGTAAACTCCACCCAACCCCCCCTCTACCCCACCCCCCACACACACTATCTCTACCCTAACAAATTACATAACGTAAGTACTTTACGTCACGTGGTAGCCCCCCCCCTTCTCTCCCTCCCTCCCACCCACCCACACACACTCTCTCTACCCTAACAAATTACATAACGTAAGTACTTTTACCTCACGTAGTAACCCCCCCCCCACACACACACACTATCTCTACCCTAACAAATTACATAACGTAAGTACTTTACGTCACGTGGTAGCCCCCCCCCCTTCTCTCCCTCCCTCCCACCCACCCACACACACTCTCTCTACCCTAACAAATTACATAACGTAAGTACTTTTACCTCACGTAGTAACCCCCCCCCCACACACACACACACTATCTCTCTCTACCCTAACAGTCTTTTCCGCACCCCTGACCACGTGATGAAAGGGCAGGAGGGGTCCATCGGATGCCCATAAAAGTTCTCGTGGACGAGGCGTCGGTGTTTACTTTTGATGTGCAGTTATTAGTATTATACAGCCCCCCTCTGGAGGGCTTGAGATGGCGAGATAGGCCGCCCCGCTCCCAATAGGTCTGGTTGATGTCGGGGGGGGGGGGGGTGTAGGATATGGCCCGTCTAATTGTGTCTGATCGCCGCCAGCCTAGCGTGGGGTTAGCCAGGCGCCTCCACTGTTATCCCCGAGCTGACTTCCCTACACGCTCTAATACTGGATGTCCCGTCCCCACCCCCACACCCCACTCCCCTTCTTTCAGATCATTGTGTGTAAACGTTGGATGTGAATTTAGGAAAATTGTGAAACTAAACTTTTGTTGCTCTTAATTTATACCTCCCCTACCGAGCTTCCCCCACACTTTAGAAAAAGGGAGAAATTAAAGTTATACCCATACTTAGAAAAGGATAAAACTAAACTTTTGTTGTTCTTAATTTACACAAAAACTTAGAAAGAATGAAACCATACCTTTGTTGTTCTTAAATTATACCCTCATGTCCCAGCTCCCTATATATATATATATATATATATATATATATATATATATATATATATATATATTTTACAAAGCCAGACAGACCAATTCAAATCGAATCAATCAGAGTTCTTCTGAATTCCCACCCCCACACCCCACCTTTCTCTCTCGAAACATAGCCACACACAAACTCACAACACAAAACCTCACACAAAATCTGTTATAAATACCTCTTATACGTTTGCACATGGGCGTAGATTAAAATTTTTAAAAGCCTGTCCTGTTCATTACACTGAACACAATGCGATGTCGTCAGACGAATCGATTGTCACACCTGCCGATAAAAGGGGAACATTCTGCTAGACAGGTAGATAGGGTAGTGGACAATGCAGTGGTCAGTTGTCAACACGTCTTGTCTATCACGACTGGGGTCAGCTGGTCAGGATGGTCAGTGGCCGGGGGCCCTGTCATCACCCTCCGTGTCTAGAGTGACTGACACAGATTCAACTGTCGTGTTCAACATCATCTTCTGCTCCACGTTTCAATCAGTAGGGGAAAAACAACACATTGTTTCCTCACAATACCACGGTTCTACACATGGTTATGACGTCATACGTAGCTACCCATACATTGACACGTCACTAGGGTACAAAGTGTTATGACGTCATGCATAGATACCCATCCAATTGTCGCTAAGCCATACGCTGCTGTGACGTTCTACACAGCTACGCATACTTTGTCGCGTCATACACGCACCAGGTACAGAGGTAGACATAGACAACCATACAATGACACGTCAACGACTGTGGAAATATTCTCGTACTGTCCTTTCTTTATCTTCCCTATCTAGATAGTCCAACTGTTATTTCATCTCCGTCCCTCTTCCCTTTATTCCACCCACCCTTTTCATTTACCCTCCCCACCCCCTAACGACGTACCCGTTTGACTTTGATTATCTCCTCTCCCTACCCCCGGGGATATATTTCAATGGACCCGACCGGACACTTGGACGGCCACTAAGGTGCAAATATCTACTCCATCTTTTCACGCCTCTCGTCCAAATTTCGGTTTCTTCCCTGGGGTTATCTCCCCTGCTCCAGTGGCGAGTTGTTGCCCCTTGCAATTTCCGTCACATAAATGAGTGTCCCGTCCCCCCGTCCCCTGTCCCAACCACCCCGAGCTGTTACTGTACATAATTAGCCGCCATCTTTAGATACACGTTTGATTGGTAATTAACGCCAAACTTTTATAAACGTGAAAGCATAATAAGACATCACATCAACAGCGTTCGATAAAATACATTTCAGTAAAATGAATTGCTAAAATACATTGAATCTCTACAAAAAAAAAACCACCAAAAAAATACGACATATGACACCAACATATTATTACAACATATCACAGCATGTGGCTATACCTGTTATTAACGTCAACAATAAAATGTAACACAATAGCAACAAAAAATAAATAATAAAAAAAAAAATAATAAAAAAAAACATCACCAACATTAAAATTATCACACAGCCACATATCTATATATATGTTTCTAAGTATAGAACTCTCATCTCTAATTTATTCTCTTACCGGCCACGCCCATGGATGTCGTGTTGGTGCGCGGTCCTCCCCTAGACCCCCAATGTAATATCCAATCGAACCAATCTAATATTAATTTAATCTCCGACGTACAAAAGGCTAACTTTATTACTACCAATAACAATTTGGTCACATCATAGGCAAGACCTACACTACACTATTAGCATCGGGTTAGTCAGGTGGGGGGGCCTCTAATATTTGTAAGTAAAAAAAAGTAGAATTCCCTTTCGAGCCTGTCGGTTTATTCCATGGTGCAGGTGAAGTAGAGTTCACCTGTTTCGGTTACCTTGGCGTACAAATGGATAATGTGGTCAGCTCAGCACTATGTCCAGTCGCCTTTACTTTCAAGACGTGAGCCAGGTACCCACCAGCTGGGTGGACTCAGGGACGTTTTACAAATAAGAACACGGGATTCAAACTCGGATTTCGGGTGAGCACTTGTATGCTCTACCACCCAACCACACCACCCCCTTTCAAAATTAGGGAATCAAGTTAAATTTAGAAATTAGGTGGACGGACACAGCTACAAAAGGAATGAACTTGCCACAAACGGGTAGTTAGGTAGACTGGCAGGAAGGTGGGCATGTAGGTAAGTAAGTAGGTAGGTAGGTATACAGGTATATAGGTACCCAAGTTAGCGAAACGCCTTCTTCTCTACCTGCTCCTGCGGCAAACACAAGTGTGTTTAATTCTCGCGAGTTCCGACCACGAGCGTACCCACCTAACGCTACCTTCAAAAGAAATTTGACGTAACGTTGACTTAACCATTTCCCCAGTGGGTATCAAAGAACATCCCCGCGCGACAATAGGACTGACCTCAATTTATAGAGTCGTTTCCAGTTAATAAGCGCCCCGCCCCCACAGCGACCCGCCCCTGATGTTCAACAAAAAAGAAGAGGACCATCGAAATGTTGACCCGTGGGGGTGACGACTGGTCATTTGCCTGTCAGCTCTGGCCTGTTGTTCCCTCTTCAAACACCCACCGCCGTTTCCACCGGCGACACGGCCCCCGGCACGGTGAGAAAAACGGAGGAGCTTTTTTTTTTGTCGGGGGTCCTTTAACTAAGCGAGAGGGAGGAGATGTAACCTGATAACACCTTGTTTCATGTGGGCGAGGGGAGTGACGAGCCCCCGTCCAGTGACGCCCCACCACAATGGCGGCACGAAGCCTTCACCGGGGGCACCTGGATTTGTAAAGGCAATAAAACCTGGAGCGGTGTAGCAGTAAAAAAAATGTCGGTATAAAAACAGCATCGTTTTATTTTGAGTTGATAAACCGAACCCCAGTTTGTCGAGACCGTAAAGGCTAGATGTATTCTCTTGTTCGGGAGGGAAATTTTTTATTTCTCTTTGGTCTGAGTAAAAATAAATTTTTTGATGACGTTTTGGTCGGTCGTCTGTATAATCTTTGTCTTTCTATCCATCAGATCTGTTTGTCTGTCCATCTGCCAGTGTCTGTCTATCTACCCTTTCTACTCGCCCGACAAGGTATCTGTCTGTTGGTGTAAACACACACACACACACATATATATATATATATATATATATATATATACATTTTCCACGTTTGCATCATATCATATTCACAATTTCCCTGGACTGTGGAGCGACAATGCCACGTTGAAATATAGTCAAAGTGAAACTGATAAATGCCTATCACCCCTCCATCTACCCCCCCCCCCTAGACCAGACGGGCCCGCAAGCTTGACCGATACGGGGCGATTTGTGCGCGTGAAAAACCGGCTGTCTGTGAGCGCCATCACGCACCTGCACTGCACGTACTTTTATCTAATATATAAAGCTCAGTTCTGTAACGTGTGGCAAAAAAAAAGTTTGTCGTTGACAGTTCTATGGATTTAAGTGTTAGATTTTTTATCGTGCTCATAGTCTAAATTTACGAGTCAAAAAATTACCATTGAAAGTCTTTAAAAACAATTTTCATTCTATTTACTTAGAAGAATAATTTTCAATTATGAACGCGACATAAAATTTTTAAAAAGTGTATCGACGTTTATAAAATTTCTAAAATTGTGTCGGAAATGTATTGACTGCACAGTTACTTCCCTTTAATAAAAAAAATTCTTAAAAAGAAAGAATTTACATTTTATTACTTTGTTTTTGGTGTTAAGAAAAAAAAATAATTACATAATTAGCGGGGATTGATTAAGTGCAATGTCGTTAGGTATTTTTAACACTGCCTTTTATTTATTCTATACACCGAACATACTGTTCAATAATTATTTTTTTTTTAAATCAATAACATTTAATAAGCCAGGTCCTACAAATCCTATATGTTTATTTCTTTCCATTTACGGATAAGCTTGGAGTATTATCATTTTTGTTCACTAACTTGAAACAGGCGCGTCCGCCGGCGCCCTTGCACGGTTCGATTTGGCACCCTGGGCTATC